TTCCGAATATTTATTTATTTATTTCAAATGGGAGGCGTTTTGATAGTTATCAATAGCCCATTAGCTGACTTCAGCTTTCACAGGGGGGAGGGGGGGAGGAACATCAACGTAACAGAAAGTCGAGGGGTGAGGAACAGAAGAGTGATTCACAGACGTGAAAGAGTCAGATAGACACGAGGGCAGAGATAAGGTAGGATGAGTACTGTAGAAGGGGTCGAATATGACATACAATGGGGTCATAGTAGCTTGAAGTGAGAAGTCAACAGCCGATTAATAGACTTTTTGGCGTATGAGTATACGTTGCCCAGGGTGCACCCCGTGGAGGTAAGTCTATCGCACACCCCTTTTGATCTATTAACTGTGACCAGGAATGGGATTTGACGATGAGAGAGAACTATGAAATGAATTTGAAAATGACACCACATCGGCAAACTGAATGTTCAAATACTTCTACGAGTCCCGAAGCCTTGTCTATTTGTGATGTTTGAATTAGCGTTTTAGCACTTCATCGTCCGGGCTCCTAGAAATTGGTGTCAAGATAAAAATACTTTCCCAATATAAGAGGACACCTATTAATCATACATTTATCATCAACCATCTTTTCTGACGCTATATTTGAGAAAAGTGGGGTACGCGATAGACTTACCTCCTCGTGGTGCACCCTGGACAACGTATTTTCTTACGGCAAAAAAGTCTATCACTCGGCATTTGACTTCGAGTAATTATGATTAGCTTTAAAAAAGGCTATAAGAAAAACCGCCCCCGTCATAGCCAATAACATATCTTCAGATCCTCCAGTGGAATGCTGGAGGAATGTCTCCGACAAAGGGCCAAGTACAGAATATCCTACAAACCTATGATGTAGACATTTTCACAATTAGAGTAATTATTAAAGCAAACCTAAAACCTTTGATGTAGAAAGCAAACATTTCGGATGAAAAACTGAAGTACTACCCGTTCCCAGGTTACACCCTGTACCTTCTACCTAAATACCGGCAAGTTGCAAGTGGAATTCTAACTGGAGTAAAAGAAGGCCTCACCTCACACTACGATCTAATCAAAAGTATGGGCTCGACACAAGACATATGTGAAATAATCGGCTTAAGTGTTTGGAAATGTAAAAAACCACTTCAAGATATATGCAGTCTATAATCAACCCCAGAATTGTCCCAAATTTGACTTTCTGAACATTTCACACAAAACTATAGTATTTAGAGACTTCAACGGCCATTACAACAGATGGGGCTACAAGGAAACACACATAGCTGATAAGAAAATTAAAGACATGCTAAGCAACAAATCGCTGAAACTTATTTACAGCAGTGAGGTTTCGGCTACATATTTGCAGTACAATGGAACCAGAAAAACTCCTGACTTGCTGCTGGCTTTAACCGACATCAGCGAGCATACACGCCGCAAAATAATTGACGATACTGGTTCTGGTCACAAAATAGTCATTGCTAGTATTAAAATCGGCAGCAAAAGCATGGCATGGAAAGTGCCAACTGAGCTATCATGGAACCTCAAGAAGACTGACTGGACTAGATTCACACACCTTTTAGATAATGAACTTCACACAAGTCCCTTCAACTTCAACCAGCATCCTGACAAACTTTGCAACGATATCACGAATATCATGATCAAATGTCCAAAGAAAACTATTTCCCGAGGCACGACTAAACACTATCGAGTGTTTGGTGAATACACCTTGAGGAAATGAAAATAAAGCGAGACGCCCTTCGCAACACTGTTGATCAGAGTGGTAAAACGGAAGACCTACAAGCCTGGAAAATACAATAAGCTGTCTAAAGGCAAGCTATTTTACAAGCTAAACGCACTAATTTGTCGACTGCATCTCTAATATCAACTATAAAATTGATAGCCAACGCGTTTTTCCAATTCCTTGGTAACCTCCAAAACAAAAAGAAAGTCCCAAGAAAGAACCAATACGTTTAAAAAACAAACTGCCTAACACCGACTCCAAAATAGCTAACTGCTTTGCGAGGTTTTTTTCCCACAAGCAAAAGAAAACCTTTTGTCAGAAAATCTTCAAGAGATTTAAATATAAAAGTAAGGGAGTTTGGTGAAATTAAGGAAGACAAAAAAAACACCAAAAAATGTACTTATTCAGCCATTCAGACCTTACAAACTTAATGTTGCGATACAACAGCTAAAGTGCAAGAATCCTCCTGGCGAAGACGGTATTCATCCAGAATTTCTAATTAGAATGGGACCAACAGCCAAGGAAACCATGCTGGAGCTTTACAAAAAATTTTAAGAGACCAGTCTCATACCTAACAAATGGAAAGTTGTCATAGTAATACCAGTGCTAAAAGAGAGGAAAGACCCTAGCAACTTTGACAGCTATAGGCCTATCTATCTCACAAGCGTGCTGGCTAAAGTTATGGAAAGAATGGTTAACAGGAGGCTCACCTGATTCCTGGCTAAAGTTATGGAAAGAATGGTTAACAGGAGGCTCACCTGATTCCTTGAGACCAACAATATTCTTAGGAGTGATTAACAAACCAACAATTAGGCACTTTCTCCCAACACATCAAAATGCCCTTGATGCAAGAAATAGCCTTACGGCTGTTTTCGTCAGTCAGCATATGACTTAGTATGGAAAGAGAAGCTAATTCTAAATACTCTTACGGCTGTTTTCGTCGACTTCAAATCAGCATATGACCGATAGAGAAGCTAATTCTAAAATTGGCAAAGATTGGTATTATTTTCGTAGACTTCAAATCAGCATATGACTTAGTATGGAAAGTGATTTCAAATCAGCATATGACTTAGTATGGAAAGAGAAGTTCTTCAAATCAGCATATGACTTAGTATGGAAAGAGAAGCTACTTTGAAAATTGGCAAAGATTGGTATTAAGCATAACATGCTAAGCTTTGATTAAAGCATTCATTGGACAAAGATCATGTAAAGTCAGATATGGGCATTCATTGGACAAAGATCGTGTAAAGTCAGATACGGACCTCAATCAAAATCCAATCTTTTACAAACAGGCCGTCCACAGGGAACAAAGATCGTGTAAAGTCAGATATGGAAATGCTCCATCATCAATCTTTAACAAACAGGCCTTCCACATGGAGCTGTCACAAGCTGCACTTACAGGCCTTCCACAGGGAGCTGTCACAAGCTGCACTCTTTTTTCCACAGGGAGCTGTCACAACCTGCACTCTTTTCAATGTTGACAGGGAGCTGTCACAAGCTGCACTCTTTTCAATGTCTTCACCAATGACATAGCCGAAGCTCATCATTGACATAGCCGAATTGGTACAGACAGTCACGGGCGTGGAGTGCTTACTTTATGCAGATGATCTTGTTCTAGGGTATTACGTGAAAACTTTATGCAGATGATCTTGTTCTATGGTATTCCGCCCCTATTTTCTCAGATGATCTGGTACTATGGTATTCCGCCCCTAAGGAAATCATCAAGTGCTTACTTTATGCAGATGATCTGGTACTATGGCAGTCCGCCTCTAAGAAAAACGCTCATGAGAGGACAGAAAGTGCCCTAAAGTGAGATAAACGCTCAGGAGAGGACAGAAAGTGCCCTAAATTGTAAACTTAAACTACTAGCAAACTGGTGCGACAACAATGGAATCACTTATGCTACTAGCAAACTGGTGTGACAACAATGGAATGGTAATTATTGGGAGAGGACAGAAAGTGTCCTAAATTGTGCACTTAAACTATGTGCGACAACAATGGAATGGTAATTAACACCGCAAAAAAATGGCGACAACAATGGAATAGTAATCAACACCGCGCAAACCGCATTTCAAACTTTTCTTTGGTCCGTCACAGCATAAACGCGTTTCTTAAGTACAGGCATACGACCATGGAAAAAATATCAATGAGTTCACATATCTCGGAATGACTTTTGACACAAAGATAACGTGGAAAAGTCACATTGCTAAAAAAAAAGAACGAGTCTCCAGTAGACTGAATGTACTGAATCATCTTGCTGGTAGCGTATGGGGCTATGCAGGCCCAACTTTTAACACCATTTACAAGATGTTTATTCAGCCAATAATGTTGTATGTTTAGGAGACCACTCATAACAGCCACAGAGGTGACTCTCAAACCCCTCGTACAGCCACAGAGGCTCCCAAAACACTCGAGAAGGCTTACAACCAAGCATTACGACTAATTACTGGAAGGATAAAATCAACACCCATTGATGCAATGCTCCTAGTTACAGGAAGCACCACAATATGTTCCCTAATCAAAGAAAAGGTTTTGATCCTGTATGAGAAGCTACTGCGCATTCCCATGGACAAGTTCTTCAGCATTTATGAGAATGGACCAAGACATCTGAAAACGCAATTTGGTCTAATACAGAAAGCCATAGAACTGGAGAAAGAATTGCAAATCGATGACAAACCAAAAAGCCTCTCTCTCCCCATGAACATATTGACAGACACTGATGCAGTGTGTTGCACCCAACTGCTTGACCTCTTCAGAAAATCAAACAACCCTCCAAAACCAAAAGCGCTCACTGACCCTTAAGACAATCAATGTCAACTATCCTGCAGATCAATGGCTCCAAGTCTTCACTGATGGGTCATACATAGAAAACCAAGCAAAAATTGGTGCAGGTGTCTATTTTGAACTCTTCTCTTTCTACGCAGCAGCGGGACACAATAGATCTGTTTTTGAAGGAGAAATAGAGGCTACTAAGAATCCCCAATGCCAGTTATGTTGCCTGGATACGAAATTCACCAAAGCGGTGATACTTTCGAACTCACAGTCAGCAATAAACTCAATTAACAACAGAGAGCCACCCAAAACAGCTGAGATAAAGGAATGTAGAAAACTCTATGGGCTGCTAAGAGAGAAAAACAAAACGGTGGTCCTACAATGGATTTCTGGTCACTGTGGCATTAAAAGCAATGAGCTTGCTGACACACTTGCTAAGAAGAGGGCAACGATTTTTGCAATGCATGGACCGGCCGATGTCTTTCCACACAACGAAGGCCTTAATCAGGAGAGAATTCCAGACCTCAAGGTTCGACGAAATTAAAGCTCGAACAAAGGAGAAACAGTGGCCAGTGGCACTCTCCGACATACCCGACTGGCCAAGAATCGAAGCCGTTGCTGAGTTCAGACTACGTACCGGACACGATTGCTTGGCAAAACATCTTCACAGATTGGGAGTATACACTCAACCCACATGCCCTCTATGTAACCTACATGAGGAAATGGAGAAAACTCATCTGATTCGATGTCCAGCTCTAAAGAC